AGTTTCCAGCTTGTGTAACAATCCTTTACACCATACTTTACAAAAAAAAAAAATGTTAAAAAATTAACATGATATATTTTTGGTGGATTGAAATTGATCAATAAACTACAGTTTTTTTAATAGATATGGGTAAATATTAGTTTTGTCCAACTGTCAAAAAATAATGCAACATAGGCTATAAAAAATTATAATCGTCACTTTAGATCAACGGTTTTATGTTTGCATTAGGTACCTATTGTTTATACGGATAAAAACTATTGGAAAATTCTGATAATAAAAAAATACTAAAAAATTGTCGAAACTGTAACGGGAAAAATGGAGACGTCCCTGGCGATCCGAGCTAGTCATACCCTTTGCTAAAATCACACTGTCCACAGACTGTGTTGGGTATAATAATTTTTTTAATAAATATTTCCTTTCATGGTCTGATCTTCTATTTCGAATATTTCCAAAATGTTTCTATGTACAAAAAAAAATTGTATACAGTGTGAGTATTTGAGTTGGAAACCTCAAATTATCTGTTAGATAATGTTTAGGTAAAAAACGCCGTAACCCGAGACATGTCAAATTTTAATTTTAGTTTTGCTTTTATTTTAGATAATCATCGCTGTGACGATGTCAAGATGACGTCGTGATGACGTCATCCATTTTTTTAAGCTGAAGCCTATATTTTTCATGTCAAATTTAAGTAGAGCGGTTGATTCCAAAAACGGTAATATGTCACTATTATCCTAAAGTTGATAGTTTTTGAGATGCATGTCCTTGAAGTTTTAAAGGTTGATGACTTACAGTCAAGAAGTGGGAAGATCTCAATTTAGCACCTCATTTAAACATTTTTTTTTTAAATAACTACTACTTCTGTTTCTGTTATAAAATTAATCGTTGTTTATTTTTGAAATTTAAGGACCTCTATCTCAAAAACTATCAACTTTAACGTAATAGTGTTTCATATTGTCGTTTTTACAATCAATAGGTGTATTTATAGTTGATATAAAAAATATAGGTTCCTACTTAAAAAAAGTTGGATCACATCGTATAAAATAAAAACAAAACTAAAATTATAATTTGATATGTGAGTACTTTTTTTTTTTTTGAATTCTGGAATACCTAAACCCTTCCGTTTCGGGGCTGCCACTGCCCGACGATAGAAGATTAATGGTTCGCGTACAGGTTCTCTAACTCTACGACCGCTGGATCAATGTAAAGTATGTGAGAAATATCTGTAAATGTACTTATTTTCGTCAATAAATAACAATCTTCTGCTTCTAATATCTATAAATAGAAGCGGCCGAACGGGTTATGGTAGGTTATGAAGTTTTGAATTATTTCTGCCATCCTTCACCGATGTTATTTATTAAATACGTACACTTTAATGAGATGATGCCCTCGTTCATCCACAAATTGTCTACACTACGCACTGTTTATCGGTAATTAAATACTTTCAGTATCTGAAGATTGATTAGAAGGCTTTTGCGAGCTGAAAGTGGAGACATCTGTATAATATTTATAGAAGCACGATGCACGGTACGTACATCGAAAAAAATAGTAGCCTTAGCAGATAATTTGGGGTAGGTAATGGAACATTTTGGCTGGCAATTCCTATAAACGTACCCAATACAAAACAGGCAGAATCAATGTATACAAATTTAATAAATAAGACTCTTGTAAATAGTCAGTGGCGGGGCAAGACCTTAATTTCGCGAGGCCCTCTGGTGACGCAAGAGGAGGGATACCAAAAAAAATTACTGTACAATTTGTATTCATAAAAATGCAAACATCTTTTAACTAACATTATTAAGTAATAACTAAAGGCAACAGACATTTTCTGCTTTTAACCTAGGGTGACTATATTTCTTTCGTTTGACTCAATGCTGAACGCAGAACAAGAATATAACATTGATGAACTTTGGAGAGGTGATGACTTTTTTACCTCCCCAAAGAAAAATACAAAAACTTTGTTAGATCTCCAAAGATAAATACAATAAATACAAAAACAGAGAACGTATTATGTTTTTTGTATTATTTGTTACGTTTCAGTAAATTATGTATTACATTGCTGGACAATAATGGCGTTTTGATGGACAAACAAGGTGGTTTGCTGTACAAGATTAAATGCTGAAAAGACTTTGAAAATGCTGTACAATACACCGAAATATTGTATGGTCACTCTATTTTAGCCCTACTGATCTTAATAACTGTATCCTAATTTAATTTAGATTCTGTATCTGCTTTAATATATAAAACTGCAAAAGCCGAAAGTCTTTACTGTAATATGTAGTTCTTCAATAATTTTTATAAGTTTTAATTTTAAAAAGCTTCTTTCAGCGGTGGTTGTATGGATATTAACACGAGATAAAAGCTCATACCATAAATGTAATATGATCAATTTTAAAATAATATTCAGGAAAACCCTCAGAAATTTTGGACATACGTAAACTCTTTTAAGAAATCCTCAGACTTCTTCAGTACAAAATAATATTGAATAATCCATTAGATATTGTGCAGGCATTTGCAAAGCATTTTTCAAACAATTATCACCAACACGTACTATCGCATCTGTTCAATCAACTTCTGTTAATTTACCTATTTTATCTATAAATCGTGTATCTGATAAAGAAGTGGTAGACGCTACAAAAAGATTAAAGCCAAAAATGACAATGGGACCTGATTATATTCCTTCCTTCTTCATTAGAGATTGCGTATACATTCTTTCAACCCCACTGTGTACTATTTTTAATTTAATATTGAAAACAGCCATGTTTCCTGATCTATGGAAATTATCTCGCGTTACACCAGTCTATAAAAAGGGAACCAAAGATGATCTTGACAACTATAGACGTGTTAGCATACTTTGTAATTTATCCAAAGTATTTGAAATCATTATTCATACATACTTATCTAGACATCTTTCGGGTTTATTATCGCAATCCCAACACGGATTTATGAAGGGTAGGTTCACTGTGTCGAATCTTGTGTACAAAACACAATTTTTGGCAGAGGCTTTAGATAGAAGAAGTCAGGTCGATGTTATCTATACCGACTTTTCTAAGGCATTCGATAGAATTGATCATCAAATCCTATTACAAAAATTAAAGTCTAAGGGACTATCTGATCTTCTTCTTTTACTTATCGATTCTTACTTAGAAAATAGACGTCATTACGTGCAACACCAAGGATTTAGATCAAACTATTTAAGCAAATTTCAGGTGTACCACAGGGTTCGGTCCTTGGGCCCCTTCTTTTCATAGTTTTTATTGATGGCATTATTGGCAAAAGCACAGAAGTAAAATACTTAATGTACACTGAAATACGGAACTTTGTTGATTGCACAGCTTTACAAAGTTGTTTAGCTGAATTATTGCTATGGTGTACTAAAAAATATTTGCATTTGAATCCTGGTAAACGTAGTGTTATGACATATACTAGGACAAAATAATATTTCACCTTTGATTATCAGATCAATGGCACTGTGTTAAGTAGGCCGGAGTTTATAAAGAATCTGTGAGTTCATTTTGACAGGGAATTAACTTTTGCAAGGCATATTGAGCAGACAGTTATGTGTGCTTCATGGAGTCTTGGTTTTGTAATTCGAAATTCCAAACAATTTAAAAATAAGCATACACTGAAGTTATTATATATTAGTTTTGTTAGATCTAGACTTGAGTATGCGTCAGTTGTGTGGAATCCATCACTTAACATTTATAGTAGAACTATTGAAAATGTGCAAAGAAAATTTATGAAGTTCGCATCATATATTCTAGACAATATCTATCCTGCTAGAGGATTTCCTCATGATCAATTGTTGTCGCGCTTTGGTTTAATGGAACTGCACATACGCCGTAAAATGCAGATAGTTTCATTCCTATGGGCTATGAAGTGCTAAACTGCATTGAGTTTCAGGATTATATCAACATTAAAGTACCCCGCCCTGGCCTTAGAATATACTTAAGCTTTTACTTGCCAGCTGCAAATACAAATATTTTGAACGGTTCTCCAATTTTTCAAATGATCAATAATTATCATCGCCTTCAAGACAGTTTGGATATTTTTAGTTGTAAGAAAATATATATTTTTAGAGTTATTACCATAGAAACTGAGTAGGTGTTTATCCTGCTTGGTAAGTTAATAATATATCTTCTGTGTGTATTTATTTTATTTTAATTTAAATTTTTATTTTTTTAAAATTTGTTTTATGCTCCTTTAAGAACTTAAATATAACTGAATATTTTACCTTCAGTTTTCCTTAAAAATAGGCTTTATTGTACTTCTTATTTGTTTCATGTTCATTCATATCTGATGTTCTTAACTCTTTTGTGATGTATATCATTAGTATATTGTATTTGTTTTTAATTTAAGTTCATCCCACTCTGTAATTGGTTTTTAACTGTTGAGTGGTGTACTAAATAAATAAATAAAAATAAATAAAAGTCTTCCGTTATTGAACATTTAATGCATTGAACAATATTATCAAATTGCAATAATATAAACTGCACTGCCTCGAATCTGCTTAACCAGTATGTGTCTGGTAAAGTCTTTATAGTAAGCTTTAATTTATCTTTGAATAATTCCCAAAATTTGTTGGTTCTTGAAAATAGCAAATACATTTTCTGAATAAGACAAAATATGTTATTGCTGCCGCAGAAGAATTAGTTGCTTATCTACCAACAGCAGATTTTAATTGTGACTCTAGTGGTCACGTCTTTTAATCGCCCATTGTACAATGCTTTGTAAATTGCTCATTTCACACATGTGTGTGTAAAGTGAATCAATTGCACTGTTACTCTTTTGTTGCGACATCTATTTAGTGAACTTGTATACTATTTTTTTCCTAAATATTCCCATTTTTCAAAAAACTCTAATTTTTTGTTAAATAGGTATATTTTCTTGCTTTGAAACCACTTCTATTTTAAAAATAATGGTTCAAAAAAGAATTTAAAAAATATTGATTCATTACTAACTCAACAACTTATTTCTAATATTAATAATATTTTCTTTTACAGGTCTGGCATTTGGGAAAACTGCAGGGCGGCATACGAAGACATTGTAAAACATTTAGAAAGGCAAGTTTTAAATTACTTAATACATAGAATTTTAACAAATGACATTGTTAATCATAAAATTTAATAAAATAAAATTTTTAAATATCATATTATCGAAACCAGACTTTTTATTTAAAATTCCAAGTAGGTAATAACTAAATATTGTTCATTTTATTTGCATTTTAAAATTTAACCGCTTATAAAATCTTAAAGAGAGAAACGTCATTATAATATATGTCCAATAAAATTAAGCGATATTTAATAATTTCAGTAAACTGACATTTATTACGTTTTTCTATAGAATACATAAATTATTTCCTGAAAAATATTAAAGAATAATTAATTTTTTAATGATTTGAAGAAACATAACCTCATTTAATTAACTTTTTCTCTGAATTAACTTTGACGTTTCTATATTTAAGGATTTATGTAGTACTGCTTAAAAACAGCTTTGCAAATATAAGTGATAAACGGACTAAAACATAAAAAAACCTTCGTATTTCAAAAACACTTCATCTAAGAGAAGTTATACCAAAAATGTGCGGTGCTCACTGATAACTTACAATGTTTTTCTAAATGATGGATGCTTTTAATTTTGCAACTGACTTACACAAAAATGTTTGTAATTTACTTTTCAAAATAATACAGAAAACAAATAATTTTATGAAGAAATAAAGAATCAAAAACAATAGCGTAAACAGTAGGGAGAGTAAAGGTACCGCATCGGTCTATAGCACGCCACTGGATCAAAAGTGAGAAGCGTGTTTTGGTCAAAATTGGAGGCTTTTAAAAAGAGATTACCTACTTATGAATTTTGAAATAAAAGTTTTTATATACAGGGTGTTAAAAAAAAGTGTCACAAAATGAAATGGTGAATAGTATGACCCAAAATAAGCAGAAAAGTCTTAATAAATATATGACCGCAAATTAACGCTTTCGGAGATACGGACCATTTTGTGTTTATAACAATTTTTTATTATTATAAAAAAACAATGATATTTATAAACAATCAATAACAACATAGAGTTAAATGAGATGTTCAAATCTGACGTAGCGCTTCCCTCGCATTGCCATTTGCACGACCGTACATAAAATGCATGTCAGCTAATTCAATATTAGTGTAAACAGGCATAACGAAAATTTATAAAATTATTCACCCACAACAAAATAATAACTGCAAATAGTATCTATGAAAAAACATCGGTAGACTCCGATAAGAAAAGCAAGTTTTTGAGAATGAAAAAAGATAATCAAAAAATGATACAAAACAAAAAACACTCCGTATCTCTGAAACCATTCATTTGCGGACATATGTTTATTAAGACTTTTCTGCATATTTTGGCCCATACTACCCCCCGTTTTATTTTGTGACACTTTTTTTTAACACCCTGTATAATACTGAAATTAAACACTTTATTAAGTTGTCATGCGCTGTAGACTTATATCCAAAAATGCACATCGTTATACAGGATGGGCCACAGAATTTTTTTTTTTTAGTATTGTTGCAAAAGACAAAAAGGCTCGGACTGGTCAATTTTTGTTTGGAGGAAGACACTTTTTTTTCTAATTGCAGCATCGAGACTTTAACCCTTGAGCAATGGGGTGAACAACCCTTGCAATTTAAATAGGGAAAGTACCAAGGATGACATATCTTTGGGAAGGTAATTTGATGGAAAATTCGGCTATAAGACTATTCATTTTGCGTTACTTTTGATTTTAGCGCCATCTAGCTTGATAAAAACTGTTTGATATTGTAAAGTGTGACGCTTCATTTGAGAGTTAATTTTATTACTAACGAAATGCACTATTTAAAATTAATCTAAATAAATTATCTCCACATTGTACTTGCAACAGTGTGAAAATTAGTCACTTGTTGCACTGTTGCTAACTTTATTTTGTTGCATGTGCATTGAATTAGTGATAAAATTAGCTCTCAAATTAGGTATCATAATTTATAATACGCCAGAGGGCGCTAATATTAAAAGTAACGCAATGTATAGTCTTATTGTCAAATTCATTATAAAATTTCATTTTTAATGATGTGTCATTCTTGATACTTTCCCTATTTAAATTATAAGCTGCTCGAAGGATAAAGTGCCAATGCTGTAATTGGAAAAAGTATGGTAAACCTGGGTGGAAAGTTTTAGGAGGCCTATTCTGAGTAGGTAATGGGCCACTTGAGAGTCCCTCCCTTTTTACCAGCCGTTTTTCGACGTTTTTCTTATAGTTTAAGATTTAAAATAAAATCAAAAACGCTAAAAACGTCGAAAAACGTTGAAAAACGTTGAAAAACGTTGAAAAACGTTGAAAAACGTTGAAAAACGTTGAAAAACGTTGAAAACCGTTGAAAAACGTTGAAAAACGTTGAAAAACATTGAAAACCGTAGGTAATGGGCCACTTGGGAGCCTCCCTTCCACTTCACTTCTTACCAGCCGTTTATCGATGTTTTTCTTAATAGTTATAAGATTTAAAATAAAATAAAAAGCGCTAAAAACGTTGATAAACATTGAAAAACGTTAAAAAACGTTAAAAAACGTTGAAAAACGTCGAAAAACGGCCGGTAAAAAGTGGAGTCGTGGGGGCACCCATTATCTACTACTCTGTATGTATTTTGTTAAGCGTTTTACCCATTTTAATTTTAAAAATTTATTTTACTAAATTAATTGTATCCCTTGAATTATTTCTAAAACTGTTCATCCAAGAGAAAAACTTTTTATACAAAAATCAAAAAAATTTATTCTCTATATTTTTCCTTCCCAAAATGTCATATTTACGTAAATATATTTTTTTGTATCATTTTTCGAATATGACAATGCGAGGGGTTTCGCCTCAAGCTCAAAAATTTTATGTACTAATCAGTATGTCACAATTAAGATCTGTGCTAAGTATACACTTTATTGCGACTCTATTTATCATACTATCAATTATCCAAAATTCAACTCGTCAAATGGAATAAAATAATTGAATTCTGAATGAAAACCGCCAAACGGGAACAGGTCGCGTACGGGGCAATTAACAAAACGGAATTAACAAAACATTGGCCGATTTAAATTCGAATTAAGGCCCCAAAAATTAATTAATCCTCGTCACTACACGGACTCGACCAATTAGTCTGCTGACGCGCAGAGCCCGGACTGAAAGATAGAACTTCTTCCATTTTCAGACATCTGCAAACGTTTCTCCGTTTTATGGATATTAATTAATTGTTGATTAACTTGATTCGGTCGGTTTAGAACTGTTTAAAACAGTCTAACTTTATTATTATTGGGCCCCCTACCGATGTATTCTATATTGGTGGCGCATTCTTAAAAGTAAAATAAATTATTTATTACTTTTTTAAACATCTTTCAAAGGATTTCATTTAATGAAAGTGATCAATGAAAATAATTTTGTTAAACGAAGTACAATAAAGGAGTTTTTGTACGAGTTTTAACGAACTCCAGAATGGATCTTGAATCTCAAATTGAATTAGGCTCAAAAAGAAAAGTAGCCAATATTATTTTTATATTAGTAAACTTAAGAGGTAAAGGGTCTAAATATTTATAAGGCGTGAATGGCCCAACTATTTTTACAAGTACAGGCGTAAATGTCAAAGGGAGCTGTTTAAATTTCATAACATTTGAGCGGTTTGACCTTGGCAAACTCATGAACTGTATTAAATAATAATGTTTGAAAATATCTGTGCGATCCATAGGCCTGGAAGATTTAGGACTTGGATTAAAAGATCACCTTCTGATTCAACACTTTATTTTACAAACTAATGGGATGATTTTATTTTTCAATACTTAAGATTAAATACTTTTTAGATTATTTATTTTATTTCTTTAAGAAATTTGTTACTAAAGCCAATTTTAATGTATAATAGTTATATTGCATGATGGCGGACGAAGCGTCGCCTTTTTAACACCGTCAAACCCTGTGATATAGTTTCTTTAAGAGGTAATGAAGCTCTGGCGCGAAGAAGAAGACAAGCCGTTAAATGAGCTTAACAGTCACGCTTGTGACGTTGACCAATGAAAGTGGTTGCCGCGTTTGGATAACTAATGAGAATTAGACAAGAAGTAAATGATGCCTGTGATATACTTAGTTGTAGGGAGGCCTTTCTTATCGGCCAAGGCAGTGCCGCTTACAGAGACGTCTTCAGGAGTAGTATATGTAACTTGTTGAATATAATTTAACAATATTCTTAAATTTAAACATAGCATTTTATAACCCGCCTCTACAAGCTAGCTGAAATCAACACACGCATTTAAGATACAGTACCAGCTAAATATATCTTCTATATACATGACTAAGGTCACGTACGCCATGGATTTAGGCCGTATTCCAATATATACTCTATCTTGCAATGCAGAATTTTTGTTTTTCCCACTCAATATAAATAAAAATAGTCCTTTACAATATTCTTCTCGATGATCTAACTATCGGCAGTAGGGGAGGGTACAACGCTCTTTACACACAAGAACCTACAAACAACGCCTGTCATGGCACATCGTTGCTCCTGTTACTTCATTCTGATTTCAAACATCCAACAGTCAATATGTTTCGGGGTCGTACACTTATCGCTACACACTCACTTCAATTTTAAACTTTGAACGGTCCCACTTTTAACCTTCCACACTCTTTAACTTGATCCTGAACAACTGATCCTATCCGAATTACAATCAGCTTATAGAAAAAAATATGGTACGCACTTTTAAAGGTAGTAAAGACATTGCACATAATTATGATAAATCGGAGTGCACGGTTTTAATATTATTAGATCAAAGTAAGGCATTCGATTTAGTAAATCATCAGGTAATATTAGGAAAGTTAAAATACTTAGGTTTTGATAGGAATAGTTTATTGTGGTTCAGCAACTACTTGAATGATAGGACACAACGAGTTAAACTTGCAGGTACATATTCAGACTGTAAGAGAATAGTTAAAGGAGTACCTCAAGGAAGTGTACTTGGACCTCTGCTCTTTTTAATTTTTACTTTTGATTTGCCAAGATGCCTCACTTACATGAACTATCATT